ATAAAAATAAATTAAAAAAGAATAACATTCAGCATTCATCGAACCTGATTATCTGAAAGCTACTCTATAAAAGAAATTTAAGCAAGATTAGAAAACCTGGTCCCCCAAATATTATTAAACGGTAAGAAGGCAGAAGACTCCATGCCACTCTTGCCACCCAGATCCCTCATCAACCTTGGCAGTCCTTGACCTCTAGTGACCCCTAAACAGTAAAACAAAATGGCTGTTTATGCTTTTTTGCCCCTATTGACACTTTGGCTGAAACTGGCTAAGCGGTCTTTTACTGATATCAACAACTCAAATAAAACCATATCAAATTCCCTCAAGATATGAAAATCCTTTGCATACACACTAAAGATTCCCTAGATCTGGACCTGTCACCCAAAGCTAACACCTGAACACACAAAAGAGATGAAGATTATTTTATCCTGCAGGATAAAATAATGGCATTTTTCCTCCAGACTGGATTGAGGTTATCCTAGCTCAGCAGCTGGGGGCCAGCAGATCACGTTCGTGCTCTTTACTAATAAAGCTTAAACCTTCCTATAAATAAATCTAGCTTTGATTTTCAATATGTGTCCGCCTTTGATGTCCATCTTCGCTAACCTGTCCGTTTTTCTGTCAAATAAATTTTATAAAGGAAAATATTTGTAGCTCAGGGTTGAAATGAGAGGTCCTTGGTGCTCTCTGAGCTTGCTTGTTTTCTCACAGACATTTCATTACCCAAATTTAGTAATATCATCAGTGCTGGTAAGGAGTGGGCTTTGCTCACATTTTATATTCTAGTGGTTTGCCATGTCATTGTTGAGAGGGTGGTCCTAGAGGTTCTTTGATTGGGCTGGCTTCAAGAAATTGCCAAAGAAGCCAACAGTAAACACCCTAACCAAAGAGCCTCTAAGACTAACCCCACCCACACTGACGTGGCAAGTGTCATGGATTATGAAACTCCAACTCTTTCTATAGGATAATTAAATACAAAAGGAGCAGGATTGAAATTCAGGAGTGAATTTTGACAGCTGTAGCTATTTCCTCCCTTTAGTAAAAGTATCCTTTTTTATCTAACTAGCTTGGGAAGATTCTTGAGTGATTTCAATGCTTGGCATCCTACATGATCTTAATGAGAGGTGACACTTCATTACTTTTAGGGAGTTGGTTTCTAACATCTTAACTAAAGCTTAAACTGATCCATTGATGTAGCTGGGGTGAGACACCATGATCTCATGAATTGGCTGCTTCCACACAATTCATAAAAAACAGCTACACCCAGCACTCCTGTTCTGTTGCTGTAGAAGCTGCCTAAAGAGTCCTTAACCAGCAATTTACATGCACTCAAGACATCTCCCTCTACAATTATCTAAAAGCAATGTTGGTTGTCTGGGATGCAGCTAATTCATTCATCACTTTCTAGCTGTCCAACTGGTAAGACTTCACAGGACTCTTCAGTAATGAGCTCAGTGGTTCAGTACCCCACGTTTACTTTCCTCCCAGGGAGAGTGGGAATCACTAGCACCACTTTTGCACCAGGTAGGAAACTCAGTGTCTGGTTAATGAATTTTGCACAAGAACAGAACATAAATGGTTTTTCCCTGTTTAAGTTCTTGCCTTGAATTCATCTGTTTAAATATCCACAAATTTGTTTATTTTAAAAAAATTGTGTTCCTTTAAGGACAAAATGGAATTTGGATAGGTGAGTAAATTACTCCTTCTGAGTGTGCATTTTCCCAAAGAAAATAGCTGGGCCAGAGCTTTGAGATATTTTAGCATAGTGGAGGCTGATTCAAACAGCAAAAGCACTGAGAAACAAAGACATTAACATCTATATAAAAGTAGCATCTCTACAAAACACGTTCTTAGACCTCTTTGCTCCATTCAAGACAGCCATTGTATTCAACTACTTGCATCATTCTGATCTGATTAACATGTATCTACCAGTCAAATTGTTTGTTATAATGATTAAATGTATACTGTAATTTGCATAAATCTATACAGGTAGTCCTCAACTTATGACTACAATTGAGCACAAAATTTCTATTGCTAAGCAAGACAGTTGTTAAGTGGGTTTTGCCCCATTTTATGACCTTTCTTGCCACAGTTGTTAAGTGAATCACTAGTTGTTAACATGGTTGTTAAATGAAACTGGTTTTCCCACTGATGTATTTGATGCAGACTATAAATACGTCAGATATGAACTTTATTCTTTAAAAATCACAGGTTTTGAATTTTGAAGTACTGGAACTGGAAACATCCTTGTTTTTCTACCATATAATCTATTCATCTATATAAGATTATCTATCTTCTAATCTATAATCTATTCTTTTCAAGTTTTGATGAAAATGTCTGATGGACCTTTTTAGATTTTTAAAGAAAGCCAATCCTCCATTGATAAGATTTTGATCAATAGTTCAAATAGTTTTTTTTTAACTAATAAAAAAATCTTGGCAGAAGTGCTACCAAAACTCAGTGCTACATCTCCAGTTTCATTCTGAAATGACAAGACTGCAACAGTTTGAACCACAAATTAGACAGTCACACTGTATATTTGCATATTGTGCAGATCCAGTCCCCCCCCAAATAATTCATCTTTAATATGAGAGATTGACTTTGATATGTTGAGAATATAGTTAAGTTGTGGGTAAATATTTACTTTGTGTGTGTGTGTGAGAGAGAGAGAGTGTGTGTGTGTGAGAGTGTTATGTGCATATGAGTTGGGGGATGTGTAATAATCTATATATTCACAATTGGACCAGTAGAGATCCTCTGTCTTTTTGAACAGTGAGCAAATATTGGAAGTGAATAGTGGCATGATTGATTTATTTCAAAGATGTAGTCCTCTGAAATCCTACTTGAAACCTTACTTCTTGATTTTAAACTGTGCAACTTATTCCTGCTGCTGAAAAGGTATCCTCTGCTTTTTCTAGATGAGACACATATAAAAGGGAAGGGACTTTCACCATATGGTTGCAGCCACCATCTTAATTTTTTTTACTTCCTTTGCAGGTGCCTATGCTTTTTAGTGTATAGAACTCTCCAATGTTATCATGGGCCTCTCTCATACTTTCAGAACTGGAGGTCCTCTTCCTAAGTAATTCTATAAGATACTGGTATTAACTCAACTGCTCTCTCTCACAGAAACGTCTCCTACTTTTCTATATCTTCCAGTGAAAAAAAATGCTAACAATCCCTCTGTGTGGTATATGTAGAGTGAGTGGAGGTTTAGTGTTGGCATAATTTCAATGGGTCACACAGGCAACTATTAACTGGGTGTAGTCTAGGGAAGCACAACTATTCAGTAATACTAGAACTCCTCAACAAAAGTGTAGCTCTCAAGAAAGAAAGATCTTCTTAACAGGATATCTAGAACTGGGTGTGGGTGAATTTGTTCCTGCAAACTTGACCTTTGTTCAGCCTTGCCCCTGTCTTCATCACGCCTTCTTTATGCAAGGCATTCCGAGGTGCAAAATTAATTCCAAGCTTATCCAAAGGGCTTTGATTGTAATCAAGACTGTTGATGCCTCAGGTAGCTTGGCAAAAGGGAAGAGGGAAACTTAAATTCTAAAATAATACACCTGCCAACTGCTGTTATCTAGCAAAGCTAGTTCTATCAAAATTTCTTTGATAAATAATGACATGTGCTAGACTTAACTGTGATTAATTTTTGATGGATTAGATCACTAATTCTGAATATATAAGTAATATAATGGTGATGTCTACAATAATCTGTGGAGTACAGTATTGACTGTATTCTTAAAAACCCTAAATCAAACTATAGTTTATAAATTATAATGCCTAACCCAAAACCAAACAAACCACACTGTCACAGTGTAATGAATGAACAAAGCCAGCATGTTGAACTGTTGTATCAGTTGTTTGTTTTAGATTAGTAAGTTATGTGAACAGTCTGTTAACTATACCATCAGTTTTGACTTCTAATTGCCTAGAATGGAGATTTTTGATTAAAAGAAATGGAGTGTGATTCTTCCAACTTTCACCATATATTTCTATTCTAGGTTATAAGCATCATAAAACTGCTTCCCCGAACACAAGGATAAATGGGAAGTGGAAAGCAAAACAGAAGTGCCTGTCTCAAATTTCCAGCTCTGTGTTCAGTAATTGTATTAGGGCTTCTTATGTATGGCTACTGTACCCAGTGTTTTAGGATATTTCTGGAAAACGCAGAATAGTTGGAACGAATTCGCCATAATTTATACACTTAAGAAATATAAACTGGTAAATGTAGCACACCTTGATCTAATAAAATACATGCAAACAGATAACTAGATTCTGCTGCTAAGTGGCATGTATCATTGGCATAATTCATTTTATAACTGCAATAGCTATCAAAATGTGTCCTTGAAATATTTTCCTTTGCTTTTAAAACTGATTTTGTTCACACATCATACCAAGTTATGTTTCCTTTAGTCAGGTATGGTTACATGGTCCACTGTTGTCTGGGTTTGCAAACATACATACAGATAACTAGAGTGCATGTATACATAATGGCCTGTGCTGTACTCACATTCATTGTGCGGCAGAAAAAAATTCAGCAGATGTGATTTCTCTCTCTCTCTAAAATGTAAAAGAAAAAAACCAGCTGCTAGTGTTAAAGGAATTAACTGGATTGAATCTTATTTCAAGGATGGACATGGGAACACGATCTCCATTCCATCTGAGACCCCTATTAGAGCATACTTGGGACTCAGTTCTTACCCTTCATTGCCTCTCCAATATTTCTTTCACCATCGGTCACCTGACTGCTCATGAAATGGCAAACTTTGGTCCTGCTTCTGAGATAATAGGAACCTTTGTGAGTTGGGAAATGGCAATCCACGTGGTCTGTGGAAAAAAAGGAAGTTAGTGAGGGACAGTTAATTGGTTTAACTGATTTATTACTAGGCATTATTGAGAGAATGTGAAAGAATGCAGACCAGCCAGTCTCTACCTTTCGCTTTTCTGTAGGGAAAGAATGACATTTATAAGGAAGTTAAATCTTTCTCTTTCAGACACACACCTAGCCCAGCACTGAATCAGTGAGAATCCCAGGGCTGCTGCTGACTCAGAAGCTCCGTGGGCTTGGCAACAGCTGCATTTCCTGAGGCCAGTCATCCTGTGAGCCACAAGTGAGGCAAAGGGGAAAGGAAAGCCCAGAATAAACTTGTGAAAAAGGAACAATAGGCTTGAGAAGAGCAAAAAAACGGTAGGGGACACATGTCAGACAGACATATGCCAGGCTGACCAAATCTTGGATTAGTAGAGAGGAAATGGCGCCAGGTTTGAATATTCCATGTATATGTAACTAGTTGGTGAATTTCACTGTCACTAATGAATGGAGAAATTATTTTCCTTTCCAATTGTTTCTTGCAAATGGATCTTCTGACATTAAAACTATGAACCTATACATATTTAGTCGAGTGTGGCTCCTACTGTACACTGACAGAATTAATTTTAAAAGCTACTGGAAGAAATGGAAGCCCAAGTTTCTGACTGAAAACAACTGTTGCATTGCTAATACACATTTCATCCAAGAGAAAGGGGTGCATAATGAAATAAAACTTGATCCGCTGAACAAGAAGGATGGAAGCAACAAATCAAATTTTGTTCAGTGGGTCAAGTTTTATTTCATTATGCACCCTATTCTCTTGGGTTATGTACATGTGATAAATTGTGTGTAATGGGTTACGTGTACATGATAAGAGGTATAGATAAAAAATAGTACAAATCAAACAGAGGTGAAATTGTCATGTCTGTTCAAGAGTAAAAAGCTGTGATCTTTGCCTCAAAGATCAGAGCAAGTCCTAATGCCTGAAGGAGAATGGAGTCGGTTCTTAAGTTCTGGTCCTTATTTGACACAAAGCTGACCATGCTTTCAGCTGTGAAATATTTAGACAACACTCAGGATCCCACTCCCCATCCTTCACCCATAAGTCACAGTCACACTATACTCTTAATCCATCATCTTACTTGATTCAATATACTGAAACCAAGCAAATGCACTGGGCTTGTAATCAAGTTACACCCCAAAACATACACAAGGCAAGATTAAAACAAACCAAATTAACCTGTAGTATGAATGCACCTGCTGGAACATTTATGCGTCTGATTATGTATGTTAGGTGAACAGGTCAAGAGCTACCTAAGCCACACTAGCAGCTTTTTCCTTCTCTACAGAATTTCTAAGGATTGTAGAAAATCACCTTAAGAAATTGCAGAACAGGAGACACAGGAATAAGAATTATTACTCTGGTTTAAATAAGATAGGATAAAAAGAGAGAAGAGGATGCTATATTTCCAGAAGAAACACAATCATAGGTTATACAGGAAAATGCCTCCCCAAAGTTGCCGCTAGAGGTAGATAGAATTTCCATGACTTGAATACAGGTAGTCCTTGACTTACAACACTTCATTTAGTGATCGTTCAAAGTTACGGCACTGAAAAAAATGACTTATGACAGTTTTTCACACTTACAACCACTGCAGCATCCCCATGGTCACGTGATCAAAATCCAGACACTTGGCAACTGACTCAGTGTTCTGGGATCATGTGATCACCTTTGGTGTCCTTCTGATAAGTCAATAGGAAAGCCAGATTCACTTAACCACCATGTTACTAATTTAATAACTGCACTGATTCACTTAACAACTGTGGCAAGAAAGGTCGTAAAATGGGGCAAAATTCACTTAACAAATGTCTCACTTAGCAACAAAAAATTTGGGCTCAGTTGTGGTCGTTAAGTTGAGGAGTACCTGTAGTTTCGACTTCCCTCCAGGTCGACAATTCTGTGGAAAAAAACTTCGTGTTCTGAATTTTGGCATCTTTGCCACATAATTTTATCAGTGCTTCATGTGAGGACCTAATGATATTTAACGAGAATAATGAAGGCCAAACATTGGGGGCCCAAATCCCAAAGGCTTTTTTTTTTTTTTTTTTAATAACTCAGCGCTGTAAGGAAGTAGCGACCAAAAACTGCTTGGGAGTTTCGGGAAGGGCAAGACCGGCAGAAGGAAAGCCGCCGCAAAACTTCCTTTAATGGGGTGGGCAATCCGAAAGCGAGCGGGGGATGCTTCAGAAACTTCGTTGTCGAGAAGGGAGCGGCAGGAAGCCGAAAAGCCGCCGATTGAGACCGATCCAGCCGCGCCCCACTTCGCGCAGTCTGAAGGCGGCGGGGCTGAGGGGGGAGGCGGGGTGGGCTTTGTTATTCGTGGCTTGACAGGCGAGGGGGCGGCAGGAAGAAAACCCACCAGCATCCAGCCGGCTCGATCTCGTCTAGCCCTGAAAGGCGGAGGCGGTAAGCACGGGGAGGGGCCTCGGCAGGCTCAACCACCATAAATGGCGCCCATCCGGCTCTTCGCCCGCAAAGCAGCACGAGCAGCGGCGGCGCCCGGTCACTGCAGAGCCGGCGTCGTTCCCGCGTGGCGCGGCCGGAGTGGTGCGGCGGCGGCTGCTGCGGCGGCAGGAGCGGCGAGAGCGGGCCGGGCGCGGGCGGCGGGCGCGGGCAGAATGAAAGGGCCGTCGGGCGGGCCGGCGTCGGAGGTGATCCGCGAGGGCGAGCTGGAGAAGCGCAGCGACAGCCTCTTCCAGCTGTGGAAGAAGAAGCAGGTGGTGCTGAGCAAGGAGAGCCTGAGCCTCTTCTCGCCCGAGGGCGGCGGCGGCGGCGGCGGCAGGGCCCGCGCCAAGGAGCTGCGCTTCGGCTCCATCCAGAAGGTGGACTGCGTGGAGCGCACCGGCAAGTACGTCTACTTCACCATCGTCACCACGGACCGCAAGGAGATCGACTTTCGGTGCCCGGGCGAGAGCTGCTGGAACGCCTCCATCACCATGGCGCTGATCGACTTCCAGAACAAGCGCGCCATCCAGGACTTCAAGAGCCGGCAGGAGGCCGTCGAGCAGGCGGCGGCGGGCAGTCGCGACCGGCGCTTGGCTCGGGCGCCCTGAGCCCCGCGCCCGGCCAGCCTAGCCAAGGTGAGCGATCGCCGCTGTTTTGGCCTCTAGGTGTAGGTTGCGCTTCTGATCCTCGCTCTCAACTTCTTTCTTTTAAACAAAGTTAGCAATTCCTATTCTCTTTGAACTTTGGGAAAGCTATGCTAGTATCACTCTCTGCTAGGTCCCGCACCTATTCTGTATTTAAGGACTGCAGAAGTTTGCTCTGCATTGGTCTTGATGCTTGGTCCAGATTTTTGAGAGCTGTATTGTTTTATATTGAATAGAAAGGAAACTGTTAGCAAAGAGGGGAAATTTAACTCAACAGTAGCGAATTGACTAACTATAGCTATACACACACACGAGGTACACAAGAATGAGACACAAAGGGTAATTCTGCGCATGTTCCTAGCTAGAAACCAGCCTGCCTCAAAAGAGTTCATTCATTGCAATAGAGACTGCAACATATCTGGGATTCAAGTGACAGGAACCGGAGGCAGCTGCAGAGGAAGAACAGTTTGAAATCTGCTGTGGTGCAGAATTTCTGTCAAAAGAAGCTGCTTGTTTTTTCCCCTCCAGAACTAGTCCCTGAGTCACTGAAGGAGTAGGGAAAAAATACCCCAGTCTCTGTGCTTCTCAGAGGCTTGCTTTGCTTGGTTTACTGAGGCAATTCCTGAGTAAAGACCTGAAGCCAGGAGATACTGGCCTTCTCAGAATTACTCTGCTGAATACTGCCTTAAATGCAGAACTGAATGTAGAGCAGTGTTTCTCAACCTTGACCATTTTAAGGCACGTGGACTTCAACTCCCAGAATTCCACAGCCAGCAAGGTTGAGAAACACTGATGTAGAGGCAAAATGGTCTTTTTCATGCACTCAGACTGTACCTTTCAAGTAGCAAATATTCCCACATTTTTATCTTTCTAAGGTTTATTTTAAAAATGCGAGAGGAGACATATATAATCGTCTTTGTACAACCTTTCTGCACAGTGCTAGAGTTTTGCACAATTATGCCTAATCATTGGGAGAATTGAAATAATTTCAATAAGTTACTCTCCATTTATTTATTGGAAAGTTTAGCACGACTGTAGCAAGCAGCCTTAATTTCTGTGGGGTTCCATGAAAGCTGTTAAGCCCAAACACAGTATTGGTCGCTACTAAGGAAGTGTGTATGGGATTGCCATATTACTTACCTAGAAGTAATTTTTTTGCGGCTCAGTAATGCTGACTATGAATGAATATGTATTGTGTGATGTCGCACTGCTTGGTTTTCAGATGCAGACCTTTATCCTATTCATAATTTGGAGTAGGGTTGCCGTGCAACTGGTGAATGCATTCTTGAGTGAAAATGAATTTCTAAATACTTTAAAGTCCAGTGCAATATATTGCTTGTGTTTGTCATCAGTCACTGTATTAGTAAACCCTATTCAGACATTAGATTAAAAAAAGGGGGAGAGGTAATCACTTTTTTGCTTTTTCCTGTATCCCTAACCATTTTCTTTTCTTTTTTCCAATAGATTATACATCTGGATAATACATTTGTCTTGGACTGAATCAGGACAGGATACCAATGAAGGAAAACAAAGAAGGATGCTACAATACCTAGATTTTTCCAGGTGTGATCAGATGGCTAAGCAAAGAGTCCAAGCTTCTCCTTAGAGGCATTTATAAACCAAAGAACTTTTTTTTTAAAAAAAGAAAAAGACTTAAGGCAAAGAGTAAGGTTGTACTTCCAATACACCCAATTTTGCATTATTTTTTTTTCTATTTATAAGATGCAAAGAACATGTAGCACCTTCAGGTGTGAAACCATTTAAATTATTTGTAATATCTATATTTGTATTTATTTTGATAAACTTTTGTCTTAAATTGCTTTTAGCATTTAAATACCGGTATGTCCATTCCAAATAAAATGGCTTTTTTTTTTACTGTATTTCTGTTGTATGGTATTTCCTTTATTACAAATGAAAACCTGTGTTCTACCTGCACTTCACTGAGAGCTTACCCAAAAAAGTACAAGTTATTAGCCATTTTGTTTGTATGAATTATAAGATACAATCTGTACCGTATATGCCGGCATATAAGACGACTTCCGGAAGCGCTAAACTCGGCACCAAAGATGGGGGTTGTCTTATACGCCGGAAATACTGGTAGTTTCTGGCGTATAAGATGACGTTCTAGGAAGGCGACTCGGCGATAAAGGCGGGGGTCGTCTTATACGCCGGGTCGCCTAATACGCTGGCATATACGGTATATGTAAATGAGAAGGCATATCCTGGCCAGAAATATAATATTTAAGTAGTGCCGACATTACGTATCTCAATACAAATTTACTAATCCAAAGCAGTGGTAAACAGATGGATTCACTGTTTACTCTCTCAAAAAATTTTCTAGGACTATATTGTTTAAAAAGATCAGAAGATTATCTGTGCCAGAAAAATCAATTCATTATTTCTTCCTAATATTTTTAGTCTACCTAGTCCAGCGTATAACATAAAGATGCATTATATATGTAATGCCTTGCAGTTAGATTCACTTCGCTTGAAAAAAGTTCCTTTTTTTGAGGTTTTGAATCAAATTACATATCAGAAGTATATACAATGGAGAGGTATTTTGAACTAAGGATTGTGTGCTCATCATCTAGATAATTTATGAGTTGTAAGAGAAGCACAATATTTTCCAGCATACATTTTCAAGAAAGAAGTGAAAACTTAAAACCTCGTCCTTCCCATTTTTGTTATAATTTCTATTAACTATGGCTTTAGTTGAGTGATTCTATACACTTCATTTCCTTCCAAATTTGAATTATTAACCATCCTTCCTCAGTTCACTTGAAATTAAACCATTTAAATAGCAACCAATCTTCCTATGGCATTGAGTAATGATACACCATTATGAGGAGAAAAGCACTGTAGGTTCCAGAAAAAAAGGATGCTTATTTCCAAGATATGTACTTGATTGCCTGAAGCAGTTGATCATAAAATTAACTGTGAGGGGGAATGGGAGGAAGATGTGCCCAAAACTTCCTGGGAGGGAAACATGACAAGGCAAATACTTCCTGCCTGCTCCACCAGATATGGCAGAGTGGACATGTTCCAGATACCATCAACAAAAAAGGTGTCATCTGGAAATGTGCTTTTCTGTTATGGTGCCTGCTAACTGGAACAGTCACCTTGAAATATGGACAGCTCCTTTTATATTGACCTTTCAGAAGTTTGTGAAAATCTGGCTCTTTCCTCAGGCTTTGTATGTTGTTAGTGGTTTTGTGATTTTTTTAGTGAGCTTTGATAATGGCTTTTTTGGGGGGAAGGGGGATGGTTTGTCTTGCTTGCCATCCAAGGTTTCTTGGATTAACATATAAATTGGATTCATAAATAAATAAATGATTATCGTGGCAGCCTGAAGTTCTGAGCCACTCCAGGCCTCTTGCTAAGAGAAGGTCTGCTGAAGTCCCCTAACCGTTTAAACTGGAGGAACTCCATTTCCTCCTCCCTCCCCACATAATCAGGTTGAGTAGTCCTTGCAGGGATGGTGGAGTGCAAGAAGGAGAATGGCGCAGGAGAGAAGCCAACTGCCTCTTCTAACCCAGCCACACAGCCAGCAGAGTTGCAAGAAGGCCTTTCTAATTCACGCTGTCTTGCTTTTCAAGTAGTGCTTTTCAAATTCTAAAGCTTAAACAACCTGCCAGCTGCCATTGTATCTGCCCAGGAGCAGTTTCTTCCTTTTTAAATATTCTTCCAAGTTTAGCTCTAGTAAGCAAGAGGAAGCATCAGCTTGTGTTATAAAGAGGCAATTTGAATACATAATTTGTAACATTCAGGCAAGGAGTGACAGGCTTGGAGTGAACTCAAGGCCTCTAATAATAGCATCTACGTTCACAGAATCTTTTGAGGTTGACAATGCTTTAAACATATTTTTTTTAACATCCTTACTTCAAACATGTAAATAGGCCAATATCTCTGCAGTGCAGATGGTTGTAGAATGAAATGGGGATTTTATAGAGAAAACAGGAGATGTATACATACAGGCCAATTCACACAACTTGCTAAGCCATCATGTAATAAGTCAACTCATAAGGTCATAAGTTAGACTTATTCATCTAACCATGATTTAGGAAATCATGGCTTACAATATGTGTAAACTCAAAATGAGGATTGCTTCACTCTATTTAGTGAACTTTTAGTTCTAACTTGGGTGAGATGTGTACTGTACCCAATTAATCATGGAGTACATACTTAATACTGAAATCAACATGGCTTTAAGCCTGTGTTACTGACAATGCCTGCATATATTGTTAATTCTAGTATTATCCAATAGAAATTACCATTTGGGTTCCTATTACAATGTAACAATATAAGTTGTCTCTCATCAAATATCACTAGGAACAAAAGACGGCCAAAAAAACTGGATTATGCTGCAGGCTACAGCAGTATTTGCTAGATAGGAGAGAAAAGGCATTTTATATGTAGCTCTGTGTATCTGTGGTTGCATGTTTTTGTTTCAGAATAGCCAGTCACATGCTTTGTGTTACATCTATTCTGCTATCTTGATGAGAAAGTGCAATTGTGTGAACAAATCTTTCCTTTGTACTTTCTCTAGCCAAAATTCAACTGTCTTAAATCTGTAACAATCACATTAATAGGGGTCTATCATTTTCCAAAGTATGGCATTCTAAACTTATTAATAAAAAACATATTTCTCCAGACATTTTAAACATTTGTGTTTATTGCAAAATGATAAATGCATGTAGGGATTGCAACCTGGCAACCTACTTGATTTTCTGCCTGGAACAAGGGGGTCTTTCTTGCTCTGAACACTAAGAATTGTAAAACATGTCTAGGAAAACACTATTGTTCCCATAGCTGGTTTCTAAGCTACCCTTGGAACCACCTCTGGCAATAGCAAATTAAGGGTTAAACTCACAGTGGACTTTTGCCTGGTCCAACATTACTTTTCTTCTCTTTGGAAATTCCTACCCAACAAATATGATTTTAAAAAACTTAAATGACCAAAAATAAGCTTTGAAATATGACTCTTTTTTGTTCTTTATATCAACAATATCCATGGAATTAGTCACTGAACTATCTCTTCTTTCTGAGGGATCTTCTTCTTTAAGAGATAAAAAAACAAAGATACATTCACCATTAGCTGTAAGTAGCCAAAGGAGGAAACCCCAAATTGTCTATATAGAAATCCTCCTATTGTTGGGCCAAATGTCCGTATCAGTGGAGTAACTGAAGCACTGATTCCCAGCATGGCTCCTATGAGAAACAATGGAAAAATCAGATAGCATAGATCAAAATTCATTTTAAGATCTGCACTCGCTCCAATGGATTAAAAAGATCAGTTTCTTAAGTGTTAAAATACATGCATCTGATTATAAATGGGCTCTCTTCTTAGAATATGGTTGATCTAGTCAGACTGTCTTCCAGTCAACTCTCTTTATTAGTCTACCAGCCCATTACCAGACTAAGCATTTTGGAAACATAATATTTGCAAACACTCTTGGGATTGCCTGGAATCCCAGGAGTCCTCGTGCCCAAACAGTGTTCTAGTTTTGTACATCGATCACGTCACCTGACATATTGTGATGTATTGTGATGTTTTTGCCTTTGCGGAGCCAGGGTGGGCGTGGCCTGCATGTGACGCATCTGGCTCGTGGGCCACCAGTTTGACACCCCTGTACTAAGCGGATACATTACAGCATTCTAGGTTCTTGAGAAGAATATGATGTATATGAAGGCCGACACCAGCTAAAGTACTGGCAGCTGTGATTTCACATTTTTGTTTATATAATAATCACAAAGTACAAAAACCTACAGATAAAAGTGGAACAACTGTGTCAAAAGAAAGTACCAACAGTAACAGGTGCCCTGGGTGCAATTCCAAAATAACTATAGCACCACTTAAATACCATTGGCATTGGCAAAATCACCATCAGTCAATTGCAAAAGGCAGCTTTACTTAGAACAACTTACATCCTGCAACGATACATTTAATACCATCAAACAACAACTGCCTACCCAGGTCCTTGGGAAGGACTCAATAGGTGGATAAAGATGCCAAATCCAGTCTAAACATCCGCTTGACTCTGCAAACCACCATAATAATAATAATAATAATGCCATCACTAGCTCTTTCCCGCAGGATGAGGCAGGGAGCAGAAGGTGAAGTTTGGCCATTACAGCCAATCAGTGTTTGGGAGGTATCTTCTGTGCCATCAGATCTTGGCAATGGGTTCTCAGCCCCTGACCCTTCACCTCTTTTTCTCAGATGACTAGGCAAGTAATATGGGTCAATAGGTTGGGTTCCCACAACACAGCTCAATGGGTGGAGCTAGGTGAATCCTGTGCACTGGTTAAAATTAACCATTCGAGGCTGACAATTTGACCAGTTGACTCTTTTGGTATTTCCCCAACACATTTATTGCTCCACTGGCTCCTTGACAGAGTTCTGTGAACAGGACAATTCTAATGCTGGCCCCATTTAAGGTGTCATGGCTGCAATGAACATCTTGCTCAATAATCAGTATATAAATAAGCTGTTGAATTTACATATTACTGGATTCCTTGGGCAATTGAAATAATGCATAAAAAGTCACTTTTTAAATACAGCATTTGCTTCTTTACCAGCATTACAATAGATTTCCCTCCCCCCCCCCGAAAGTTTATATATATAGTTTTGTTCTACTGATCTCTGTAATAATTTAATATGTGCAAAGACAGCTGAATGTTGCTTTAATTTTGTGGGATTTTAAAGTCCTGGATATCTTATGATAGAGATAGATGATAGATAGATAGATAGATAGATAGATAGATAGATAGATAGATAGATAGATAGATCACCCTGTGATTACGATTTTAATTCCTAGTTTGTTATAATAGCTGGTGACCCTCACTTGAACATAATCCAGAATTATGATTCACTGTACTGAAAGCAAAAGTTTCATATTTCTTCTATCCAGAGTTAGAAAAGGAGAAATACTGTATATAGAAGACTGGACTGCAGCTTCATTCCTAATTGGTGAAACTATGATTTATGTATTAGCTATGCATTATTATGAAGAGTTTCACTTGATTTGAATATAAAGGTCTATTTGATGTACTTTTCTTACTTATGTTTCTTAAATTATCTGGAAATTTTCTTAGCTGGAAGAGTACTATCTGCTTGACAGCAAAACAAGAATGAAAATAATTGCATACCAAGAGTTCATCAAGAGCAGGGGTCTTCAAACTTGACCCTTTTATGACTTGTGGACTTCAACTCCCAGAATTCCTCAACCAGCATGCCTGGCTGAGGAATTCTGGGAGTTGAAGTCCACAAGTCATAAAAGGGCCAAGTTTGAAGACCCCTGATCAAGAGAATCAGTCATTTAATGGGATACTTTCCACTGACAGGGAATGGCAATGGGTGTGAAGGAGGAAATCTACTGGTGATGGAGGTAATGTGCAGTTCCACCCCTGGCCAAAAATGGGTGTTGAAGCTTTTTTTTTAAAAAATAATAATAATTGTATTAGCTTGAGAGTCACTTGCACTGCAGTAATTGCTAGGTATGGATTTAATAAATGTTTAATATTTTTCTCCATTGGCACATGCTGACCCTAGTTTACTTTCTTTGAAGGCCAGCAGTTCTTCACAAGGTTTATTTTTAGAGCTGAAACGATAGGCACTGTGCTAGCTACAAGCTTATGCTCAAGGCTTTTCTGTGCTTCAGTTCAAACCCTCAAACTTAAATATAGCACAAATTCCAAACATATTTTAGCCAGTGACTTGTCATTCCCTATCTAATATCCCCAGGTCCCAGCCCCCTCCTGCTGAAAGATTTGACACATATATCCATAACACATGGGGGTTGATCTGGAAATCCATAGACTATTTTTTTTGTTTTGTTTTTTGTTTTGCAATTTGTATGAGCAGCCAGGCACACAGGCACCCTTTCGTCTATTCCTTTGGGTTCTGAAATCCTGTTTCTAGTATACTCTACTCCTAAGTCTTGTTCCTAGTTTTCTGCTGCTTTTAAGCCAACGTAAGCAGTCCTTCTCAATTGTCAACTCATAATCATCTACGCAAATCAGACTCAGGATAAGCCGCTGAACTGGCTTCCTTCCTTATGTGATTCAGGTTGCCCCTGGGCCAAGGAAGCAAGCTGAGCAGGCTCCTCTCCCTTACAAAAGCTCTTTTGAGAGACAGTCTGGACCAGTTGCAGCTGCCGCTTTCAACCTCCCCACCACCCTTCATTTCAAAAGCTTTGGATAGAACCCAATAAGGAGTGAGTGCAGAGAATGTTCCGGCTATAAACACACTACGCCAGCAATATCAAACTTAATTTCAGCCGTGTTTTTCTTAAAATTTGATGCAGTGAGAACCTTCCCAATATTTACTTAGATAATTAAGTTTAGATTCTTATTTAGTTTCTCTGGACAGTTTATCAACCAGCAAATTATTTCAGACCATCACCATAAAAATCACGTATTACTTCCTTAGGCAACCGCTTAGGAGATTTTTAAATGCTAGAATGTAGTTCTTTAGGTATCGGTTAGGTGCAGGGGTAGGCAACCTTGGCTCTTTTATGACTCGTGGCTGGCTCAGGAATTCTGGGTGTTGAAGTCCACGAGTCATAAAAGAGCCAAGGTTGCCTACCCCTGGTAGGGATTCCTCAGAGAGGAAGCAGCATTCTAAGACAGTGTTTCTCAACATTGACAATTTTAAGGCATGTGGACTTCAACTCCCAGAATTCCACAGCTGGCTGTGGAATTCTGGGAGTTGAAGTCCACATGCCTTAAAATTGTCAAGGTTGAGAAACACTGTTCTATGACAACTAAAGCTCTGAAAATTAGCCCTTCCATGTGTGGCCCATATGCATGATTACTGCCATCAACCCACATATAATCTCAATGACTAGGAAATGGAGTTCTGAAGGATTTCTGATTGGAGTTATCAGCTGAGAAAAGAACATTGAGGTATGAGAGTTGCTTGGCTATGTAATTGAGTGGAGTGGGGTGGGATCTGTCTTGAAGTGCAGTTAGGGATACACATCATTCAAAGTCCAGGCAGAAAGAACTATCCAAAAAAGAACATTCACTAGAAAATTAATCTCAGGAAATGCTGCAAGATTTTACTTCTTCACTAACAATTGGATCATTAAGTATTATGGGTCACTGGCTTCCTTGCAGGAATTTTTTTTTTTTTTTTTTTTGTAACTCCAGCTCTTTCGGCTTGGCAGATATGCAGTTCCAATAAGATGACCTTTTTCTTCTGGATACAATTATGTGAGATCTGCAGCGACTTTGGAACTTGGCATTGCTTCCTGCAGAGCTCTGAAAAGATCCTAGGCAGAGCATGATGTGCCAGACCATTGCCAATGCACATCTTTGGAAAGCAGTGAACCAAAACCAAGAAGCTCGTCCAAAAGGAAACATTAATCAGAAACAGAAAGATGTAAAGCCTTACCTGTGTCGGAAACAGGGACTGATTTGGTCAGGATAATATCGGTAATGACACCAACAATACTGAAGGAAAACACCATGGGGGGCACAATGAGGCAATAATGAAATACATTGGTCATCAGGACCTGTGAGAAAAAAGAGTAGCAGGTCACAAAAAAGAGATGCTGATATTCAGGAAGAGCTTCTTACCAATTTTGCAGGTTCCACAAGTGATTTCAAATCTACTTGTCCCAAAACATATTGGGATAGAGCAGTGGTGGCGAATCTATGGCATGCGTGCCAGAGGCGGCACTCAGAGCCCTCTCTGTGGGCACGCGCACCATGCCCCAGAGATGGCAACCGTCCCTCTTCAACCAGCTGCCTGCTAGCTCGCCAAGGTCCCATGTGCCCGGATGCATCCCAGCATGGCTGGTTTCCCTCCCTCACATCCCATCCCTCCTGGCCTCACGTGCTCTCCTTTTTCTGGGCACGACCCACTGTATTGCCTCCTCAGCTGTCAGCCGGCCGTCCAGCTCAGAGGTGGCTTCTCTGAACTGCTGGTGGCAGGCTGCGGAGCCCCAGAGGGGCTGTGGCTGCTGATGGACACTGTCGGCCCCCATACGCTCACTGGCCTCTGTGTGCGGGGGCCGATGGTGTCAGGCAGCAGTCACCCCGGCCCCTACTCGCCTTGCCCTGTGACAATGGCACCCCCATCCTACCTCACCTTGCCTTGCCTCACCCCGCAGGACGAGCCTCCTGCCCACTGCCCCACCTTCCAGAGATCCCCTGGATCTCCCCCAACCCTGCCCGGCCCCCACAGGTGTCCCTCCTCATGAGCAACATCGAGGTGACCACATCCACCTTGGCCACACCTAGTCTGCCATGACCACAGCCACACCCACCTGGCACCCAGAGATAAATAAGTGGGTTTTGGGTTGCAATTTGGGCACTCGGTCTCTAAAAGGTTCGCCATCACTGGGATAGAGGGACTACAGGCAATCCTCGATTTAACAGTTCATTTAGTGACTGTTCAAAGTTACAACGGCACTGAAAAAGTGACTTATGACTGTTTTTCACCCTCACAACCATTACAGCATCCCCGTGGTCATGTTATCAAGATTCAGACGCTTGGAAACTGACTCATATTTATGACAGTTGTAGCATCCCAGGGTTATGCAATTCCCTTTTGCAACCTTCTGACCAGTAAAGTCAATAGGGAAGCTAGTTTCACTTAACAACTCTGTTACTAACTTAACACCTGCAGTGATTCACTTAACGTGGCAAGAAAAGTCATAAAATGGATCAAAAGTCACTTAACAAATGTCTCATTTAGCAACAGAAATGTTGGGCCCAACTGTAACCATAAACCGAAGACTAGCAGTACTTGGTTCCATTTTATTTGCATAAATGACTGGGGAAGGATGTCGGCGACGAGTTTTCCAAAGAACAGAATACTGATTGCTCAAGAGAAGGCAGCTTCTGAAATAAAGAGACACCTATCAGTTCCTGATGATCTGGAACAAATGGCCATAGATGCTATTAAGAAGCTTAGCTGGTATTTGTTTAGGGCAGTTATTATTAGATTTTTATGACAGGACACATCTATATAGTCTTGTTAGTGGCAGGATATAGCTGAACTGTTTGATGTTTGTTTCTTCACCCCAGGGGACTCTGGGACAGAGCCTAACACCTTTTGGATTTGGCACAATTCAGTTTTTCTCCTTCTTGAACCACCATCAGAGGAGCAGAATGGTTCACTGGTACAACGTCTAGCAGCAACAACTTGCAAATAAGAAGAGCTGGAACGATTATCCATGTCTTAAAGTCCATAGTGATAGTTCCGAGGATTAGTACGTATCATAGACAATATTGGACCACCACATGACTACTGACTTAATAATTATTTTCATAGATGAAGGCTGCTTATGTTAGCAGGGGAACCAATACTGTCAATTTTTAATGGGGCAATGTCTATAGCATCTCCTGCCTCCACTATTGTATAACAATATAGACAAAAATTATTCCCTCTCTTATCTTCACATAATCTCAGCAGAAGTGTCAGCTGATCTGACACAGTTCTTCGGATAGTCACATATTGTGGATGAAACTTGTAATCTTTACAACATGCTGGCTTGATTATTATTACTAACTGCTTGCATTTCCTCTCTTTCCAGCAGATCAACTCCTCTGCTCATTCTTTGTTCTGATTTAATCAGGATCCTTCTAGGATGGACAGTTGATGAGCAGATTAAGACTATTCCTAATGGAAAAGAACTGTTAGTATTTGAAGGTCCCTGCCAAGAGCTTCTAACCTAGAGGATAAATTGCAGCAGAATATTCATTTCTCCAGTCTCCTAGGAGTTGAAGATTGCCACATATAATGGAGACCTTTTAACAGTCCAGGAAGTTTCTACTTTCAATTATCCATAGAGTGACTCATCGTCTAAGATAACTGAATCCCTATGAATTAGGACGCTATGGAGCCCTGAGAGGATGGGTTGGGCCTGTTGAACATCACGTTTTCCGTGACTGATTCAATCATTTACCTTCAAAGTTTGCTGCATCAGCCTGCACTAATGTAGTCTGTATATGAAAAAAATATTCTCCTAACATGACTTTATCTCAAGAAAGGAAGCAGTATATTTAGGTATTTTCTTGATTGTTTTCCAAGATCCTTTTCCAGAATTGTCTTGGGGCTAATCTTTGCAACATGACATTTCCCTAATATGATATGCACAGCAATATCTGCACAGATAATTAACATGAAATCATGCTTGTCCAAATACACGGAACTTAGGATTTGGGAACCAGTTTGGCTTGCTCACTTGCAAGTTAATTGAACTTCAATGAGCTAAAATGTCTCTCAGTTATGCAGATCACTTTGCATATGCAGTACGGCAAGGACAATCTTTTTGTACTACAATACTGTAAAAGAGATGCTTAAAATCTTAATTCCACATAAACACGGGCTCTAGATCTTGGAATGACTTTCTAGGATTTCTTCAGTTTGGGGAGACGTTCAGTGGTAGACACCCTAGCCTAGTTTGTGTGCAGAAAGTCATTAATTCAATCCTTGGCTTTCTGAGTTGAAAGGATCAAGTAGCAGTTGATGGGAAAGGCTTGTCTGTAGAAAGTTATTGGTTTAATCCCTTCAAATAATGTCCTAGAACTTGCATTATTTTCATTTTCTTCACTTTTCATAAAATTCTTCAAAACCTTAAAAGTCACTTTTGTAAATCCACTATAGGGATGTTACCCAGGTTGCACTTTTTGTTTGTATATCCCTTTTAAGTATTAAAACATCAGCTGGTTTCATTCATATATCCAGTGTAACAACTTTTGCCATATCATTGTAGCCTGTCATTTTTAAACCACTTTCGGATCAGTCTCATCCGATAAAACCTGTTCCTCTTCCATAACATCTTTTAAACACAACCTATCTATAATGGCAGATACTTTTAAAATTAACTTCTGGATTCATCGTTCACAAACATCCCTCAATATGTCCAATGTTGAGGTATCATGCTCTGTTCTCTACTGGTAAGTCAAATTCTTTCTTCTCCTTTAATTATAATCTTTAGTTCCTTCTGGTTCCCGCTAGTGTCCAACTTTATCTCATCAAATTACGCTTTTTAAAAAAAAGATTTTAAAACAGTAGCATTCTCTTCTTATTTTGAATTCATCTGGCTCCTTAGTCAGTCTGTACTTTTCCAAAATTAACAGTGTAATCACCCTTTTGCTGATTTTTTTTTTAAAAAAGGGTTTTAAGCCCTTAAACTTACATTTAAAGTTTCTTTCACAAAGAATTCAAGAAGATTCACCTGGTATTGTAAAACTTCTTCCAAAGGTTCTTGATAGCCGAAAAGCAGTTAATAAGCAATTTCCAAAAGGGTTTAAAAAAAGAAGTATGCAAACTCAGGATCCATAAAGGTGCTGATCATGGTTTGGACAAAAAAGGTGGTCCCTCATCTCCCAGAGTTCCTAACTGCTGGAGGCCACTGTCTTGCAGTTTCCTCATGAGGAACAACTGGAGCACTTATGGGTGACCCCAAATTCTCTCCTTGTCTGAAGAGGAATCCCAAAGAGCTGGTCCACTCCCCAGATCTTCATTCCTCCATGATTGTTGGCTCCACTCTTGGAGGAATCATTTTCAGTTCATCATTTCTTTCCTAGAAGCCTTGTTATAGAACAGCTTCCTATTTGCCTTGCTCATAGACAACTTTCAGCAAAATTTTGATCCAGCTTGAAGAACAAATCTTTACAATTAATCTGTGTTATGGCTGGTAAGAATTTTCTGAGACAGAAATATAACTCATGGCTATCATACCAGCTATCTTTTCATTCTGCAGTGTGCAGCAGAGACAAGAGGAATCAAACATGTTGTTGCCATGATAATGCAAAGTCTGATGTTAATGATGACAAAAAATATGGCTGATTGATCACAGAAATAAGGAATCAGGAATCATGGGGAATAAAACAAAAGTCACCATGGCTTTTCTTAAGACTCCGAGAAGCTGTGGGATTGGTGGCAAAATGTTCATAAGAGCTTTCCATCCCTGAAATTTTTTCTCTATTTTAAAAAATTCTTTGAAGTCAATGGCCCAACAAATGAGAGTGTCCCGAGTTTCTTGATTGCACTATTTGAACAAAAAGTCTTTGATCCTAGAAAAAGTTGAGTTGCATATGAGATTCACATTAAAAATAAGTGAAGCTTTGATTGCACCATAGAAGTTGCCATCTTGACTTTTTTGCTCACACCCTGCAGACACCTCTGCTCTCTCTGTGTTAGCTCTTAAAGCTCAGTTTCTTGCTTTGCCTGCCCAACTCCAATCTGTTGCCTTATCTTCTCTTTAGCACTGTAAGAATGCTTTGTAAATAAATACATCTTTTAAATTTCTTGAAGTAATGCTCTGCCTCCAGTCTTCCTTTTCTCTGTATTTGTAAAATACATTGTTCAAGATCTTGGGATGGTGAGAAAAATCCAATATCGGCTCACTAAGCTCAAAGAGAATGCTTGATGTTTTCATTTTACACAATGGCATATTCTCTAGTGCCCCCCAAAATAAATTTGAGTGGTGCCTTTTTAATATTAACTAAAACTTAGTTAACAATTTTAAAACATTCTCAGTTTAGGAGACTTTTGCATGGTTATTCTGTCAGACTAGTTCCTAGGGATGTGACACTTAGGGCCATTCAGAAGTAGTCAAATTATAACATCTAGTACAGGAATCTTCAAACTTGGCCCTTTTATGACTTGTGGACTTCAACTCCCAGAATTCCTCAGCCAGGCACACTGGCTGAGGAATTCTGGAAGTTGAAGTCCACAAGTCATAAAATTGCCAAGTTCGAAGACCCCTTATCTATTATCTCTGAAACCATTGACAATTCTAGCTGGGTCAGTGAGGAGCATCACTGAAGGAATTGCACAACTTTATCTCTGATCTACTCTAACTAGTAACAGCTATTTAAGTTTTCAAATAGAAAATTCTTCCTCTCACCTGTCACCTAATAATTAAATGGAAGTGAGCCTCAACTTTCTGTAGCTTTTCTATTATTGGGCTGTGGCTTCCGATCCAAGACCATCGTTTATTCCTAAAATGCCTCCTCTGAAAAATTATCAGGCTGAACTCTGTCTGGCCCCAGCTTGAGACTTGGGGCATCTTGTTTACTGCTCTCTATTTCACCTCATTTTTTCCCCCCTTCGTCTGTTACCTAAACTTTCGCAGGGCTCCTTTTCAGCACAGCTGGCCTCAGTTAATTTCAGCCCCGCATATTTCGGAGGCCACAGAGGGGAAGTGATTCGATGGGGGCGGTTGAGGGAAGTGTAACTTGAGATCTTTGTTAAATGTCTTCCTTATATAAATCTTTTTTTTATCAGCTAGCTATATCAGCTGCATACTTTGTTCAGGCATGGATGTTCCTGGGGATCAGTTCAAGTTGTATCAAGAGTTTTTTTTTCCTTCAAAGGCAAAGACATTTGCTTATTGGATGCTTAAGCTCAAAGCTTTCAAAAAGTTTTATTTGCAAAGAGGATATCAGCCTCACTTTTCTATCAAGAGTAATTCTGGGAATCTTTTTCTGGCCCCTTTCTTTTAACGTTTATGTGGTCCCTTTCTCACAGTAAGCCTTTTCTCCCAGATGCATCAAAAGTTAGATGCTGGGTGTGTATGTGGCTGTGTGTCTCAATGTTCAGGTGGTTCTCGACTTACCACCACAATTGAGCTCAAAATTTATATGAGACGTTTGTTAAGTGAGTTTTGCCCAATTTTATGACCTTTCTTGACACTGTTGTTAAATGAATCACTTCAGTTATTAAGTTAGTAACACAGTTGTTAAGGGAATCCGGCTTCTCCATTGACTTTGCTTGTCAGAAGGTCACAAAAGGTGAACACATGACCCCCAGGATACTGCAACGGTCATAAATATGAGTCAGTTGCCAAACATTTTCATTTTCATCATATGACCATGGAGATATTGCAACATTCGTTAAGTGTGAAAAACAATCATAAGTCACATTTTTTCAGTGCTGCTGTAACTTTGAACAGTCACTAAATGAACTGTTGTAAGTCAAGGACTATCTGTACTTCTTACTGAACTTTATTTTGTTCTCCAAATTGAAGCTTATTTTGCTCAGATTTTAATATCATGTTGTGATCAGCACTGGTGTTACTGTTAAAAACTAAGAAATCATATAGCAGAAACTCTTGGTCCTAGGTTAGCCTGATGAAAGGGGGGCCCTTTAATTTTAAATATATGAGCCCAAGTGATGAGCCATTTCAGCCAGATGGCATTTGAATTTTTGGAAAACAGCGTATATTTTCACTATTTCATTGATTATTGCTGTCTATATGAATGGATTTACAGATATAATTTTTGTTTACTTCCCATTTCTTTCTTGAGATTCAACTGCATAATCTGCAGTGGACATTATTCCAGCACTTCATAATCCAAAGCAGTACAAAATTGTGTTCAATCTTACCATAGCAATGCCAACGCCACATAAAACAATAACACTCAGCATAAGCAAAGACCGCTCAGTATAGCGACTGGTTAACCTTCCAATTACTAGGCCCTGGACGACCTGGGGTGGGGGGATAGAAAAAAACACATACAGATAAATCAAGCTCTCAGAAATGTCTAGATCAGTGATTCTCAACCTTTCTAATGCCGTGACCCCATAATACAGTTCCCCATGTTGTGGTGACCCCCAAGTGGGTGTGGCCACCAATAAGAGGGAGTAGGACAGCTAGGGAAAAGGGAAAAAAATGGCGGACAGCATGGTTTGGCGACCCCCATGAAATGGTCATTCGACCCCAAATGGGGTCCCGACCCACAGGTTGAGAACCACTGGTCTAGATTAAATACAGGCTCATACTAAACAATAGCTTCTACGGAGTATTCAGATCCCAAAATTAGATTATATCTAGGAGATCTTCAATTGACTGAACAGTTTGCTTTCAGCATCATGTTCATGTCTTCTATCATTTAGGTCACCAATAGAGAAGACAGAGATGATTAATGTTCCTGCCAGACTCTTCTGTGATACACACCAGGTTTCTTGTCCTAATTTTATTTTTTTAATGAATGTTTAAAAATAAACCTCCCAGGTGTTCACAGGTGTTTGGATCAAATACATCATCTCATTCATTTTGTAAGAGTGCCCATAATATTCCAAATGGATCAAAGAAATTATATGATGCTGATGACATAGAAATTACAGCTTAAGAAAATATTGCACATAAATTTATGTAATGTGAACTTTGTTGACTGCCACAAAGAAGAGGGAGTCAAGCTATTCGCCAAAGTACCTGAAGGCAGGACAAGAAGCAACGGATGGAAACTAACCAAAGAGAGAAGCAGTCTAGAACTAAGGAGAAACTTCCTGACAGTTAGAACAATTAACCAGTGGAACAACCTGCCTCCAGAAGTGGTGAATGCTCCAACACTGGAAGTTTTTAAGAAGAGACTGGACAGCCATTTGTCTGAAATGGTATAGGGTTTCCTGCCTGAGCAGGGGGTTGGACTAGATGTCCTCCAAGGTCCCTTCCAACACCATTATTATTATTATTATTATTATTATTATTATTATTAATATTATTATCATCATCATCATCATCATCATCATCAAAGTAAAACTGGGGAAGGGGACAGGACTATTGTCTCACTACTACTAGTCTTCAAGCTGTTCCCATCTATGACCATTTAATCACCTCTTTTCAACAGTTTATTTATCACAGTAAACAAACATTTGTGATGACATGGGAAAAAAACAACTGGGAAGGCACTTTGGGTTGGAAAATGTCTACAAATTTGGGAAGAATGGGCATAGGGGTTACCATCTAAATTAGATAACAGCTCGTCCTGACAATAATTCATCATTAAAATGAGAAATGTGAAAGGAGTAATTGGAACATAGCATTGTATCTTTAAAAAGTATTATTTCAACAAATATTTTAACAACCAATTACAATAAGATAGGCATTCACTATAATTTCATATAGGACGGATCTCAGTGCTTTGATATTATGTTGAGGAATCTGCTCTAAACAATACAAGTTAAATTAAAACTTGTATAAAATATAATATATTTGGAAAAGTGAGTTAGGCAGGTACACATTTTCCAAAACTATCTTTAAGCTGGATGACATTTTTGATAATAAAAACTTTAAAAATTGGTCCTGGTCACTACTCAGGAAAATGAAGACTATATGTATAGCCAAAATATATATTTTATGTATAGCCAAAATATGCTCCCCTCACCTCCTGCTTTTAAATATTGCTGATGTGGTACACAGTGAAGATAATTAGAATAATTAAAAAACTTAATCAGTTAAAAAGGTATCAGCTAAAATCCTAAACTCACTGTACACTTTTTAATAAATGGATTGAAATACAGCAGTACAACTTAATGCTCAGAGTCCTTCTAATCCAAATAGGTATATTTGTACACTAACATTTTTGGGGGGAGGGGGAAATCATCCATATCCACCATTATACACATAAGGTTTCATTAAAAAAGAATAAACAGAAATTGAATTCTTCATTAGTTGCTTGAGTGACAGGATTTCTTTATACAAATGAACCAAACTGTCTAGTTAACATCCCTAGGCAGGAAAAAAAAAAAATCAGATATTTACCTGGGAGGTCATCAAACAAAATTAAACCACTCTCCTCTCTATACCTTCAAGATTTTCTCTCTCTAAAAAAAAAAAAAAAAAAAAAGGCTGTAGCTGCAGGATTGACCTATCTCTTCAATCACTTTAAGGGTACTGTACTTTGAACATGTGACATCATTCTTTATTGCCGATGGAGATCTCAACACTGTCTAAATGGGAAGCTTTTTTGGGCAAAAAAGCAAGTTCAAATGTAGAAAAGTAGGCAATAAATTAATATATATGACAATGCAATTTGATCCCTTAAAATAGCTCTTAAATGTATAGGTTTCTTCCTTGGGTGTGCCATTGTGCTAAACAAATAATTATAAGGTTTGAGGTATAATTGGATTTTTTTCCAAGACTCCACAAATATGCCTTATAACACACTCACGTCTACACTGATTCTACTACAATTCAAAAGGTAGCCATTGTGCAGCTGATAGAAAAAGAACATCTGGGGCCATGGGAAGTGTTGTGATTGCTATCTCTTGATTCATTTTTGGGGGGGGAGGTGGGAGGACAGTTTGTTGTGCCATGAAACAGAATTCCCAAAAGTGCCTGTTAAATCCTAAATAACTACTGGAAAATCAGAAGCCCACTCTTATCTGTGAGTTTTATGGCTGTTCTTTTAATTAAATTATACTGTATTTCACTATTGACCTTCAGATCATGCCATCAGAATATGTGCTCTAACATGCTAATAATAACCTGTGCAGGATTGCTTATCCAATATATCACTCACAACAGCAGAATTACTTTTGACAGTGCCCTAGTTTTGAAGACTTTTGACTTATTTACACACACACTCCTGGAATGTTTCTTTCTCTAAAACATTCAGTAAACAAAGAAAATACCGTAGCAGAAACAATATGAGAAGCCCAGTGCTGATTGCATCGCAATTGCAGTACAAGCAAGCTGCACAGCTATTTTATTCTGTTAGAGCAGATCATGGAAATAAAAGTCCCATGTAATGTATTGATCAGGAAATACTATTCCCAATAGTAATGAAAACTACCAGAAGCTGGATTTGTTATTTTTCTTTCAAGCTGAAAAAGGAGGGAGGAGTAAGGAGGATGGAGAAAGTATGCTAATAGTTCCATCATTCATCACAAATTGTCCTGCATAAAGATATTTTAATCAATGTCACTGTGGCAGCACTCTGTGTTTTGCCTTTTATGGTAGTCAGGGAAAAGCCATTTATGTTTTCCCTTGTATGGTAGTCTGGGAAACTATAATGTGAAAAACAGCCAGATAGAATGCTGATATCATAGCTTGCATTGGAACAAGGTGTGTGGCTATCATAAGAAAGACTTCTACAAAGTTGGCTAACAAATGTAAGAGATAAAAATTCCGCAGGTCAAGATTGTAGAGTGAGAGAGTGGGCTTTGTGTGCATAATGTTTCCGTTCATGAGCAGACATGATGGCTATGAAGCTCAGCTGCCAGCAGTAGAAATATTTTGGAAGAAGACACTGTAAGGCAGACAGAAATCAGGATCTTCTAGATCAGGGGTCCTCAACCTTGGCAACTTTAAGACTTGTGGACTTCAACTCCCAGAATTCCTCAGCCAGCTGGCTGAGGAATTCTGGGAGTTGAAGTCCACAAGTCTTAAAGTTGCCAAGGTTGAGGACCCCTGTTCTAGATGGGTTTTTTTTTTTTTAAATTGCTGTCTCTTCAGGTCAGAATGAATGCTTCTGATAATCAGGGACATAGGGCACACAGCAGATATTGGCTTTTCAAACCTGAAATCTTGGAGAGGTCATGTTCTGTGAACTCTGAGAGGCTTGCACTGGAACAGGATATTCTGGTCCCTCAAAAGAAAGTTCCTTGCCCAGTGTTGAGAATAAGGCTGGCAATACTTTACTGAGAAAGACACATAACTCTTTCTGTCTCCTGGATAGCACTGAAGAAGTGTAATTTTCAAAGATAGTCTTTCCCCAATATGGTACTCTTCCGGTGATTTTTGAACTGCAATTCCTATAAACTGCAGAAAGCATGTTCAAATGCAAGGTGTCCTGGAAGTGGACTATAAATGGACACTATGCTGGGCAGCTGCACAAGGAGAACATTTCACAAGCACAGTTAATATTATAACGTATGACAGCCTAGATCAGGGGTAGGCAACCTTGGCTCTTTTATGACTCGTAGACTTCAACTCCCAGAATTCCTGAGCCAGCATGACTCAGCTTGGAAACCTCTCCCTTTCTTCTCAGCATGGCTGGCTCAGGTATTCTGGGAGTTGAAGTCTACGAGTCATAAAAGAGCCAAGGTTGCCTACCTGTCCTAGATTAAAGCAAGAAACTATTTTTTATAGAATCAGACCACTGACTTATCTAGCTGAGTACTGTAAACACTGTAGTCATACTTGCAAATAAATTCATTTAATTGACTATTTGATGAATATGCTTGGTCACATTGCAATAGAGGATGGACCGCCCCTTTGTTATAAAAATATGTCATATTCATATATCTCAAGAATCTTGCAAAAGTAAAGGAGACAACAAGAGAGCAAGAAACCTTGCAGCCTCCTATTCAAAAGGGACCAAATGTATCCTCCACAGGAAAAGAAAGATGTCTTTAGCCAAGGCAATAGAGCAAGGTCTTATTTTTACAGGCATTCAAAGGGAAATTAGGCGTTGAACTAGTCAACAGATTATAGCTCTCTCCTATATCACCTGACAATAGCTGAGAAACTAAAAGGAAATGATCAGATGAGAGTGCTACTAAGTTTCTTAATTAATGACTGTGCAACACACCCAAATGTTAGCTTGCAGCTATTTCTGCATAATTGTATGTCATTAATGCCACTTTATGGAATGATACTGGACATGTGGAATGAAGGTGGATGTATTTTGTAGCCTCTGATTCTGAAAATGACAAGAGAACAAGTTATTCTTGGGTCTCTCCTTTGAGTAGTAGATAAGACG